TGGGGCTTCATCCAGTCAGCATAATAACTATGGAATGAAGACCATCCACCACCAAAAGCATTCATATCAGGAGGCTGACAGCGTAGAGCGAGATGAAATGCAGAATATGGAGAAGCAGCACTATAACACAAATGGGAAATCTGAGTATGTGAGCCTCAATAAAGCTGTTGAAAGTTGTTTAGGAAAGAATATCTCCAAAATGGAAACTAAATTAAGTATCAAGCAACAGTTAAATGCTTCCAAGAATTGTGATTCGTCAAAAGGTGTTGTTGATGGAACAAAGAGCAACTGCCAATCAGAGATTACCTTTTGTCCAAGTCCTCAGAATAGTTTCTATTCAGAAGCCAAGGAAAGTTTTGGCAACACTGGAGTCAGTGAATGTGTTAGTGTTGATAAGTCAGTTGAAAGTGGAGAAGTTACTAATTCCTGTGAATTTAACGAGAGCAGGAAGACCAGCATCTGTAGAGGAAGCACTGGAAGCGACGTTAGTGATGAGAGCAGCACTAGTAGTCTGAGCAGTGCTTTATACAAGCCCCACAAGGCAAATGACATAAGATGGGAAGCAATTCAAGCCATTCGAGCCCGTGATGGGGTGTTGGAAATGAGACATTTCAGGTTATTGAAGAAATTGGGATGTGGAGACATAGGAAGTGTATATCTAGCTGAACTAAGTGGCACTAGGACTTGTTTTGCAATGAAAGTAATGAACAAAACTGAGTTGGCAAGTCGCAAGAAGCTTGTTAGGTCTCAGACAGAGAGAGAGATACTGCAGTCTCTAGATCATCCATTTCTACCCACATTGTATACACACTTTGAGACAGAGACATTCTCCTGCTTGGTAATGGAGTTTTGCCCTGGAGGGGACTTGCATGCACTCAGGCAAAGACAACCTGGGAAGTATTTTTCTGAGATTGCTGCCAGGTTAGCCATTTCATTTTTCCTTGCTTGCCCCATCAGTTCTATCGACATACAACATGCAGAGGCATTAGATAACTGTATTTTCCTTCCTTGGAGTCATGGAATCAAGTGTTCTATCTGTAGGGCCAGAATAGAAACTGTATCATTTTAGAAAATATCTGTCTTTCTCTACAAGAATAAGGGAACCTGACTGAGATTTTTATCATATAAAGCTGAACTGTCACAAAACACTGTAGTTACTATCCATTGCTGCTCAAGGACCATGAGAAAATCCTTATATTTACCAAAACATGGCCCAAGAATTCTAAGTAGCCAAGCTTTATTCTTTTCCACTCCCTTTATTGTTTTAAAACCTTCCAAGCTTTTTTCAAGTCTCTTATGGATGTCTGCCAAAAATGGTAAAAATACGCTTGCTCGCTGCACACTGGACCGTTTCTTTTTCTGCCTGCATAATTACCTTTCCTTTACTACTTCCACCTTTTCCCACAATCAAGTTTCAATCTCTATTTTCTTGACACTTCTAACTTCAATGGTTGTGATTATTACCTGACTTGCCTTTCTCTAATATATTTTTTAGAGTTATCTTTCTATGTCATAGAATGTAAAAATTCTGTTTTTCATTTTTCTTTGAGAATAACTAACATTGATTTTCTGTCATCGACATCAGATGGCAATTCATTTGGTCTCTCTGGTGTTATCAATTACTCCAACCTGTGTCCTATTAGATGAAACGAATAAAGTTGTCATTTGATTAATATGTACCGTGCAGGTTTTACGTGGCAGAAGTTCTCCTTGCGTTGGAGTACTTGCACATGCTTGGAGTGATCTACAGAGATCTGAAACCTGAGAATGTGTTGGTGAGAGAAGATGGACATATAATGCTTTCAGATTTTGATCTCTCTCTAAGGTGTGCTGTGAGTCCAACACTGGTGAAATCATCAAACTCTACCTTGGAGACAAAAAGCTCTGGATACTGCATGCAGCCTGCGTGCATTGAGCCAACTTGTGTAATTCAGCCAGACTGCATTCAACCATCATGTTTCACACCACGATTTCTCTCGGGAAAATCCAAGAAAGAAAAAAAGTTGAAGCCAAAGAATGATGTGCAGAATCAGGTGACCCCTCTTCCCGAGCTCATTGCCGAGCCCACCAATGCTAGATCAATGTCCTTTGTGGGAACACACGAGTACCTGGCACCTGAAATCATCAAAGGTGAAGGACACGGCAGTGCTGTAGACTGGTGGACATTTGGGATATTCTTGTATGAGCTCATGTTCGGAAGAACGCCGTTCAAAGGTCCGGCGAACCGTGCAACGCTGTTTAATGTTGTTGGACAGCCCTTAAAATTTCCAGAATCTCCCTCTGTGAGCTTTGCTGCCAGGGACTTGATCAGAGGTTTACTTGTGAAAGAACCTCAGAATCGCCTTGCTTACAGACGTGGAGCAACAGAAATAAAACAACATCCATTTTTTCATAATGTTAACTGGGCACTGATCCGATGTGCAAATCCCCCAGAGGTTCCAAGACAAGCCATGAAAGCACTTGCAGCTGAAAAGCTACCTGGAGTGAAGCCTTCTGGTAATTATTTAGATATTGATTTCTTTTGATCTTATTGTCTGTTTTCTCATTTGAACTAATTTCCATCTTTCATTTCTGTTGTTTTTCCCCTTGCTTCTTTCCTTTGTATAAAAATCATGCAACTCTTTCATCTACATTCATTATCGCTTGTAATTGTCCATCATAAACTGTCCTAAGAACCTCCCAAATGCATGAAAATTCAACAACAAAGTTTCTGCTCACTTATTTACTTCTATTTACTTAACATTTTTCATCATGCCCAATTTTTCAAAGTGAAAACACACTTAAAAACACTAGAATAAATTTCAAAATCAAAACCTAAGTTCATCCTATATTACAACATTCATCTTAAAAAATTCTCAATCTTATAACAGAGTGCTACAATACGTTTAAAAAAACAATAAATCTTGATAAGATATATTTTTAATAATTTTGATATTATATTAAAAAAAATAGCTTTTAAGATTAGTTTAACTTTACAAAACTATTTTGTAAAAAATAAGATTGCACCTCCTTATATATTTGTTATATTTAATTTATGTGAATCTCCAACAATTTACTCACTTCATTCTCATATTTTAATTTCTTTTATCAGACCCAACTTACAAAAGTAAAGCTTACTTAAAATTTAAATTATCGCTAATAAGGGCATGTTATTATTTTCAAATTTGAATAAATTGTTTAATAATAATCTCCTTCATTGAAAGAATATAAAAATAAAATGATTGTGTATAAAAATTATTTCATGACTAAATTGGAAGGATTAATGGGATTTCTAGTAATCAGTGATACATCATCAGATTATAGTCCAATTTCTGAACGAAACTCTGGATTCAGTCAAAGATGAGGGGGTGACAGATTAAATGTGCCACGGAATTTATGGTCTAGAACGTGATGATTCTTTCACGGTAAGTGTGTTTAAGAATCACAAGGTACATTTCATGTATACGGACTCCTATTCATGTAAGGATATAAATGTGAGAAAGCGATAGATACAGAAATAATAATTTCGAAGATTTGTTTTACTATTTTTTGTGTACCATAGAAAAGGATTGATCTGCTGATTTTGACTTGACCAAGTTGAGCCCAGGGATAATCTATTTGGAAAAGGAGAATTATTTTGCTTTAAATAGTACAAGGTCAATGAGAGTGTATATCATTATTATTAAATAGGGCTGAGAAAAACATCATAACCTAATCCAAAGAAACTTAACTAAATTTGAATAAACAAATAATATTGAATGTAAAAAGTTAAATAATGAATAATTATGGTCATATTTAAATAATAGATTAAAATTTTATGGATATATGATTAAACTCGAATTTATGTGTTAATATTTATAAATTTTTAAATATGTTTTAGATTTTAAATTTTATTTTTTAGAATGATATTATCTGAATAAATAGTAAAATTATACATGTTATTCTTTTAGTTAAAAATTCATTATATACATTTATTTAAAATAAAAATTATTTTTTGCATAAATTTGCAATCTAGAAATACAGATTGAATTAACCCATAATTTGAATTTAACTAATTTGATAAATTAAATAATTGAATATAAATTTTTAAATATTAAATTCATATTATACATTAAATTAGATCTTTTGATTCAAGCCGACATACTCACTCGTAAATGAAAACATGTTAGTGAGGAAAGCGTTCAATTTTCTTTTACTAATAAAAAGATAAATTATAAATTACTATAATAATTATTGTAAAAAGATATCATTAAAGTTACTAAAAAATATCTATAAAAAATTACAGAAATAAATCAATTTTATTAATCTTTATAATTTTATTGTGTATTTTTTTTCTGAAATTTATTAGTGGTACAGGTAAAGAAAATATATACACATAAAGTCTTATTATACCAAGAAATTCATAGTATAACTTTAGAGAATCTTGTAATTAAACTAAATTTTGATAGTTTTTTTATGTAAATCTATCATACTTCTTTTCGTCTACAATCCCAACGAAGAAAGCTTTTTAAGAATAATGACTTTGATTTAAAGGAGAGTTTAGTACAAGGAAATTTCATATTTTTTTCTCAGAAATCTGAAGTTGAAAATTTCTTCTATCAATTTTGGTTTATTTTTAAATAACATTTTCAGAAAATAACACTGTTTAAAAAAGAAATATTTACATTTCTTACAAAATTGTTTCCAATTGAGAATGGTGAGGATTAAAAGAGTTTTGGGCTAAAATTTTTACCTAAATATTTACAAAGCTTTCATAAATGTATAAGAACCATAATGTATAATGTCTTATTCTTTAATTTCTGTACAGAACAATGAAGAAGAAACTTTGCTATCAAATGTCATGTGCAAAAAAACCTCAATTTAAACTCATCATGATGTCAATAATGTGATTTGATGAACTTACCAAACACCCAATGAGTTCTTGGCACATGCATAATAAATAAAGGTGTTTGAACAACTAATTAAATGAGTTCTTTGTATTTAGTCCAACTTTATCAATATAGTGTGTATAATAAAATAACGCCACATGGTTCTATGAATTTGAGAATAACTAGACCAAGAGTAATTATAATGGTTCAAATTTTATCTATAAATTACATAATGGAAAACTGAATTTAAAATTGAAGGGATTGAAAGTAATATAAGAAAGAGGATCACGTCATTGCAAAATGAATGTTGAAATAGAATGAAAAAAATGGACTAAGAATTGAAACCGGTGAGACAAGAAAGAAAAGAAAGATTACTAAGAAATGAGAATATCCGGAATTGCATGGACCAATGACCATGTGTCAAGAATCATGTGTCTTGTCCCCATGATAAGGACCTCATTCAATGTCTTGCCTTAGATAAATAAGATTATTCAGATTATGCACATATGTTTCTATTCATTTTATTTCTTTCCCTAAGATGAATAAAAAAATTGGATGACCCAAATAAAAATTTGACTAGGTGACTTTACTTATACTTTTATCAATCTTTTGATAATGTATATTTTTTTTGAAAAAATAGTTAATTATTTATTTTTAGCATAGAAAAGTATTTAAAAAATTATTTTGTTTAGAAAAGTTAGAATATGGTATGAATTTACTTTTAATATCTTACCAGCATATATATATATATATATAAATTTGTACTTAGTGACTTAAAGTGTGATTAAGGTTATAGTATAAGTATACTTATTTCATGTACTAAAAATTCAGTATCCATGGAGGTATTCAACCTTCTCATAATAAAAAAAATCTTAATCATTACTTTTAACGGTGGCTTTAAACTGATGACTCATTTTCTAAACTCACAGGCACATGAGTTGAAAAGAAGTGAGTTTAATGTGAAAGCAAGGAAGAAGATGAAGGCTCATTGTGTGTAATGGTGGTGAATAAATGCTCTTACAAGATACTAGGTCAACTCTTAAGAAAAAGTCTAGAGTGATCTCAATAAAGTTTGTATACTATATTTATGAATAAATTTACAAGAGGGTTGTTCTTCTATTAATAAGAACAAAAGAGAGATAGATGTCTCCAAAAGAAGAGGAAAATTCAAACAATCAAATTTGAATTTTGGAGTCAAAATAAAACATGCTTCTAATGTGATATTTATAATCATGTTGTGCCATTTAACCATTGATGCATATTCAATTGAATATATTATTCATATATTCAAATATCTTCATCTTCTTTTATCTAAAAGTACTTTATATAACAATAAGAGTGTATTATTTCTTGTGAATTATTAATTCTTTCCTTTTTATCCATTCATAAATTTGAATTTCAAACTTCATACCACTGTAGCTTTAATCTTCTTAATATTCTCCTATGGTCTTTAATTTGTAGAGTCTTTTACTTACTCGTGATTATTTGTTAATCATATGATAATATCTCTAATTCTCAATAAGAGATAATTTCTTTTATATTTCTATTCAAATAGATATTCAATCAACCTTTATATTCTTCAAATGTATCTTCAATCAAAATTTTTACTAGAATATCTTCAATCAATGTTGAGCCTTTGAATACTTGATTTGTAATCTTCTTAATACCCTGTTGTGCTTGGATTGACTCGTGTAACGCTTCTGTTTTGACTCATCTACTACTTGCAGGAGTCTAGTACCTTGTCATATTATATTGACTCCTTTGGTAAATGTGTTTGTCTATTGAGTTCAACTGAGTTTTCACTATTTTAGTCATGTTGTGCTTGGGTTGACTCATTTAACGCTTTTGTTTTGATTCATCTACTGCTTGTGGGAGTATAGTGCTTTATCATATTATGTTGACTCCTTTGGTCAATTTATTTGTCTATTGAGTTAAACGAAGTTTACATAATTTTGAGTTGTCTGGTAACATACATACACAAACACACACAGAGACATACATACACACGCATAGACACACATACATAGACACAAACACAAACACACAAAGACAAACATACACAGACACAAATACACAGAAACACACACACACAGACACAGAGACACAGATACACGCACACACACACACACACACACATAGAGAGAAAGACATATGCACAGACACACACACAAACATACACACAGGCACACACACAAACACACACAAACACACACACAAACACACACACACACACAGACACACACACACACATACACGCACACACACAGACACACACACAAACACACACACACACACACACACACATAGAGACACATACACACAAACACAAACACAAACACACAGATACACACAGACACATAGACACACAAACATAGACACACACACACACACACACACCCACACTCACACCCACACACCCCCCGACACACACACACTCATCCACACACACACACTTTTCTGGGTATATGTTAGAGTCTAATGAAGTCTTTGATTTAGTTTACCCTTTCTCTATCTAATCTCAGTCTATGTATATAATCTAATCATCGTTAACTCAATTGAATCATTATCTTACTAACTTAACTCTCATGTTTTATTATAGTTTGTTATCATAAAAATCCTACCTACTATTAGGCTCATCTAACGGGGTCTTTCAGTGTTTAATGCTAGTAATTAGGCTCCCTAAAGGATTCTTCATATGTACTTCCCTAAGTCTCTTTATATAGGAGTTTGACTAGGTCTTTTTGTGCAATTTATGTTGATCAAATCTTCTTTTTGATAATATAATTTCTGCTAAATATCTTTTAAATATATATAATATCTCCATGATATTCTTGGTTATTGTGGAGAAGTAAAAAGATTGGAAACTTTTAGTCAAGTTTGAAAAGATTTAGCCAGATTTGGCAATTTGGCCTCTCATTGCTTCATAAAGTCTTGATCACTCTCAACCAACATTTAATTTCGTTGTTGAATTAGATTAGCCATCATCTTTATGGCCCTTTCAATCCCACTCATATTGATAAAAGGTAGGAATGTGTTACGTGGTTTATAAGTCATTATGGTGACATGTGCTAAAACAAAATCGTCTATGCGTCTAAAACGCTCTCATATTTTGAAGTTTAATCAAATAACATTAAAACAGGATAATAATCTAAAAATAACATAGGGTAAAAACACAAGATCTAGAACCTGAACCCCAAACATAGAAAACCTACACAAAGACTTAGAATTAGAATCCACAACATATAAAAGTTTAGGAAAACATTTAGGATCTTATGTAATAGAAAAACATCTAGGTTAAAACATCCAGACACATGGCTAAATGCTATTGTGTCTAACGTTGAAGTTAAAAGCTTTATGCTTATCATAACTGAAAGAGGTATTCAATATAACTCTCGAAAAATAAACAGTCGAGACGATGTCTCCAACAAAACACATTAAAAGACATTAAATATTAAAATATAAAAAAAAAATTTAAACAAGCTAAACTTCATCGTCTAAAACGAAACAAAAACAAAAGAAACGTTTACTTGACTAAATGATACCATGAGCTTAAACAATATTTCGTCCAACGATAAAATCTCTATCCAATGAAGAATTTATCAATTATACTTAAATTATGTCAATCTTTGATAAAGTCAAAGATATTTTATTTGATTGATAGTTTATTTATCTTATTTTAACTCTTTTTATTTCTAAAACTATAACAAAAAAATCATTTATTTCGATGAAGATTATCAAAACTTGAAGAATAAAAGGACATATAAATTTTCTATAAATAATAAGATTATTTATATTAAATAAATATAACTGAAAATTTTAATTGTGAAAAGAATTTGAAAGGGTGAAGAACAATCCTTCAAATATGTGTAATGTATTTTATAGTTACACTTATGTGCTTATTTTTATTATATTAGTGACAAATTAAATATATAAATTTAGAATGTATTATTTTGGTTTTATTAAAATAATTGGTCAAGATTCATCACGATAACAACACATAGATATATAATATCTTAAAACAACATATTAATTTCATATTGCATAATCGACCTACGTGATAATACACATCTCTTAACCGTGTCATAAAACTAGCAATAATTATTATATTGAATCATAAACAGAACATACTTCATCAAATCAAGGATTCTCAGTGAAAAACAAATGATTTACTCTCTAATTCTGTTGTTGTCAAACCTTGAACCTTTGACCCTTCAATCGTCCTACCTATTTCAAGTGGGCTTTCTTTCCTCTTGAAATCTTCAAAGTTCAAACCTTCAAAGCAGTAGATTATATTAAAATAAAAAAGAAAATTTAGGACAAGGATCGGAAATAGAAAACTCAAGTTAAATTAAAGGAAATTGCACTGCATATAAAGGATAGAGAAGTGATTTATTCTCTAATTTCAAACCTTAAACTCAGGAAAATATATATAAAGAAAAGAATTAAAGGCTTCTCAGTGGAAAACAAATTTTGTTGTTGTTGTCAACCCTTAAACCTTTAGCCTTTAAATCAACCTACCGATTTCAGTTTCGTTTTCCTTTCCAAGCCTTCAATGCAGTAGAATACTCAGGTTAGATTGTCGCATTGCATACAATGAACAAAGAACTGAGAGGAAGTATAGCTGCCAGGAAGTAAACAAACACAAGAAAAAAAACCCAAACATTTAGGCCGGTATCAACATCTTAAATGGAGATATTATAGTTAATTTCCTAGACGTAGATATAGGTAATATGGTAAATTTCATATATACAGAAAATGAAAATAACAAAAAGAAAAACTAATATAATTGACAGGTGTCCAAATAAGCATCATTAATTTAGTACTTTCCCTTATATTCTTTTCCTAGTTATATAATTGAATTGAAGTTATGTAATTGATAATACATTAATAGATCTTAACAATAAAAAACTAAATAATTTTTACTTTTACTGTTTTCTTACATTTTGTTTTCCAGTCGCCTCTTTCTTCCTTACAGAAAGAACAAAGGATCAGTTGATAGTAAGATAAAGAAATCCAGAGTGTTTTATGAAGGAAAAAAATACGGAAGAAGTTTTAATATCTAATGACACTCTTTTGTTTTTATTATCACGAACGTGTTTTTTTAAATTAAAAGAATTACAGTAAAGGATAATAAACTTTAAAATATTTATTTAATGATAAGATAATTACTTTTAAAACTTATGACAATTTTAATCGTAGTTTTCTTAAAACTAGTTAATTTTAAAACCATTAATGATTAAGGATATTAGGATCAACTCATGACATAAAATTTACCCAGTTTTTAACACATTACAAATTTAGAAATAAACAATTAAATCAAATATATGAAAAAAATATTTTAGCCATATTAATATAAATTATACGGATGTATCAATTTCAACTTTCCCAAATGATAATGATTTTATGAACTAAATGATTTAACATTTAGTTTAAATATAAATTAAAAAAACATGATAAAAGGGAAATGTATGTGTGTGGTTAAGCATTTCTGACTACAAAAAAAATTACTAGTTTCTGAGTGGGAAGGGCAAATGCGTCAATACGCGAGCCTCATCCTCTGCTCCCGCTTCTTTTCACTAGAAGCACACGAAACTGATCAATAAGTCGTTCTTTTTCTTCTTGATGTATTTTCCGGATAAAATGCCATTCTGAATATCTCGTAAATTCATAGCCTTCATACTTCCGTGGAGTTTAGGTGTTGCAGTTACAGTCATCAGAACAACCAAAGTTTCTTCCATGTCCAAATACTGAAATGGCGTCCATTTCGACGTGCATCACTGGGATCCCCAGTTGTGGGCTCCGGAGGCCACAATCCTTCATTCTTTCGAGTTTGGCGAAGCGCCCGAAGCAAGAAATAGCTTTCCCTTGCGTGCAAAACCCGTTGATTGGGGGAGTCTCGAGAAGGGTATTGGATTCTAGGGTTTTGGTGGCGAGGCCGGGGGGCCTAGTGGAAAGCGATAAGGTGCCGTCGGATGTGAGGAAGCGAACGATGGACGCGGTGGATGGATGCGGAGGGAGAGTGACCGTTGGGGATGTGGCTAGCAGAGCTGGCCTTAACTTGAATCAAGCTCAGAAGGCTCTTCAAGCTCTTGCCGCTGACACAGATGGCTTCTTAGAGGTTGTTACTTTGTTTCCCTTTACATTAGGAAGCTTCCAGTACCATATGTGATAGGATGATCCTAAAAAGCCCAAAAGAAGGAAAATTAAATGGCTAAGGATTTTATAGGATGGGTTTAGAATATTACAAATTTATAATATTATTAGTTTATTATATTTTAATTTCCCATTAGATAATGACACTTGTAGGGCATATTTTAGGTTATATGTGTATTTTTCTTACCTATCGAAAAATTTAAATGCTTGTATTTATCTTCCTTATAGTAGTGGTAGATTTTGGGCTATTGTAGAATAGTGCTCAAATCTTCTTATCAATGTGGGGAAAAAGTGCTGCAGTTAGATCGTTATTAATTTGTTTCCTTGGTTTCCTACACTGCGATTATGGTTAAATTTTAGGAATAAAATTCTGTCTGTGCTACCGTGGTATCTGTAGGTTTCTGAGGAAGGTGACGTTCTCTATGTATTTCCAAAAGATTATCGATCAAGGCTTGGTGCCAAGTCGCTTAGGATTAAAGCTGAACCCTTTTTTGACAAGGCCAAGGTATGAAGACTATTGTCTTCTCTGTAACAGTTGTTGCTGATGTTTTTCGCTTGAGTGTTGTTGTATAACTTTGACTTTGACAGGCCGCAGTAGAATACTTGATAAGGGTATCTTTTGGGACAGCGCTTATTGCATCCATTGTTATTGTTTACACTACGATAATTGCTCTTGTAACTAGCAGTAGAAGGTATTCCATAACTTTAATGAAAAATTTAGTAATGCGAATGAGGGAATAATGTTTTTTATTTACAGTGATGACGATAATCGTGGAAGGCGTGGAGGCAGGTCATATGATTCAGGAGTTACTTTCTACTTCAATCCTTTTGATTTGTTCTGGTAATTCTATTTTGTAGTATTGGAGTTGCATTTTATACAAAATTTCTCAAATATTTTCCTTCTTGGTTCTCAAGGTTTTTCTGCCAATTAGAATTTAAAAATTATGTGTTTCTGGTTGCTTAATGAAGTTTAGTAAGTTTTCATGTGCCTAAAAATAAAGAAGAGGAAGACGAGAGACACACAATTAAATTAGGGTCATCACTTACATGTGCACATTTAATATTGGTGATGGTGATGCAAGGTAGTTAAATTAGGTTGCTTTCACCTCTCCTTTTGATATGAATCTTAAGAGAACCACACTACAAAAGCTTGTATAGATGGATATATATATATATATATATATATATATATAGAGAGAGAGAGAGAGAAACCCAACACTAAAATCTCACACTTCCTATTTGGGACTCAAGTTCCTTACCTCCCATGTTATTGATATTGCATAACGGAAAATACCGTAACCCAAATATCCTTTATAAAAATCTATCAGAAGCCATAACGGGTTTTGCTGGAAGTATAGCTGCCAAAAGAATGAAATATATGTGTGTGTATAGATGGATAGATAGATAATAATATAAAAATGCAGAAATATTGTTGTTGTTTGAAAGTAATGAAAGACAACCTAATGATATTAAGTCTAAAAATTCAAATAGCAAAATCATTATAATCATTAGCCACCAAGTTCAAGACAAAATAATGACACAACTAAAGATAAATGTTCTAAATTTAATTCACAACTTCTCCTAACAACAAAGCATAAGCCATATTAATCCTTAACTTCAAATTGAATCTTCAATTTGCTTTCCTTCTTCAGAGCATGTGTACTGAGGGGTTTCAACCTTTTAGAGAACGAGTATTGAGTAGAACAAAGGGGTTTCAGTTTTTTAGAAAATGCTAGTCCCGTGGTCATTGTTGCACAATGATGTAGTTCCATTTTGGTTGTTCGCTGTGTCCTTGTTTTCTACTTTGATTGTTTGCCATGCCATTACTGTGCGGTTGTGTGCCTTTGCCTGTGTTGGTGGTCTGCTCTATCATTGTGGCCATCCTGTGCTGCACGGGTAAGGGTTAGGGTATAAAATAATTTTTCATGTGAGATGAAGTTTAAGGGGTCTACTTTGTTTCTATGCTGGCCTTTTGGGCCTCATTGTCCAACAACTTTTTTTTTTATATAAAACATAATATATCATATAATTAATTAAAGTTATTATACAAGAATAATAATATTAGAGAAACATAAAAAATCTTTTGAAATATATAATATGATAAACTAATAGTAATAACAATAAAATTTCAGTAAGAAAATGTAAAATGTTATTTATAATGTCATATAACATGGAATTATTATTGTTGAAATAAATAATAAGTAGTGCATTGGGAACCATTTATCTGCTGTAATCATGATTAGCACCTACCTAGGAATCTAGGGTAGTCTTTTGATCTTTCATCTTCCATTGTATCAGTTTCTATCATTATAAATACAAGATCACAAGAGGGATCTTGTAAGCCCTCCAATTTTATATTCTCTTTTTATTCTCAACTGTTATATCATATATAAATATTTTAATATTTTTTTATCCAAAGTAAACTCGTAAAACTCGTAAGAGTTTACGATCTGAGTTTACAAAGTTCTTTGGTTCTTTGCTGCAATACGGTTTAAAAATTGCAATGCAGATAAGAGCATGTTGGGTCCCAAAACAACCGGAAATTAGGAATACATGTTTAAAAGTGCGGTATGGGAGAGATATTACTGACAAACCATGTAATTGTATACTATAAAGGCGAAACACTTTTCTTAGCCTGTGTGGATAAATGTGGAAGTGTAGGGGAAGTTGATTTGCTTTTTGTGTATGGTTTAGATTGAACTAAATATGTCTTCATTCCTCCAATTGCATTCTCAGATTGTAGCACATGTATCTAGTTTCCTGTATGTATAATCAAATTTCATTTTGAGATAAATGTTTGGTGTCATAATTTAATTTTTATACTATTGAAGGTACTGGGATCCATATTATTATAGGAGACGAAGGCTACAAGCTGATGATGACAAGATGAACTTCATTGAGTCGGTGTGTGATATAATTGAAATAACATGTCATCCTCCCACCCCACTTTTTTGGTTTCTAATGAAGATAAGGATTTTTTCATTTTGGTAGGTCTTCTCCTTTGTATTTGGAGATGGTGATCCTAATCAAGGAATTGAAGAAGAGAGATGGAAGTTGGTAATAATTGAGGACTGAATTCAGTGGTCCGTTGCCTTTGATGATTTTTTTTTTATTGTTTCATATTTGGTACTATTTTCCATTTTATATGTGAAAATGTTAACTTTTTTCTTTTTTCAAACTTTCCTATATATTTACATGTTTATTTCCTCTAATCCACTTTACTCATCTGATGTACAGATTGGGCAATACATAGCATCCAATGGTGGTGTTGTTGCAGCTGAAGAACTTGCTCCATATCTTGAAATAGATTCTACGGAGGGTCTTAAGGTAATTTGGTATATGTTTGGTTGTGTCTACATACTTAGACAAGCATATTTTATGTGATAAATGGAGGCTAAAAGGAGTTGCTTTTGTCAGCACGTGGAAATTGAACGCACATAGAGCTGGAATTAATATGTAACTGAACATTCTATAATTTGTTTAACAAGGGTATTTGTTGAAGTGGGACTTAGAGACCTCATAATTCACACGTCTTGTGTCTTGGTATTTTGCAGTGACCACACCCATCGTTGTTCTTATTTTGAGTTCCTCTTTTGCGTGGCCAGATGCACTCTTTTTTCTCCATTCCTTGAAATATGAAAATCTGGAGAGGGGACTTTAATCATAAATAAAATATTTTAGCATGGAATATAACAAATTTCCTATTTAAACATGGATGCTTGAAAATAACTTGAATAGGGTAACACAATTTATAAACTTAAAAGCTTGCGTAAGGTCAATACAACTTATATACTTAAAAGTCACAACATAACTTCATTTATGAAAATGCACCCCTATTATCCTTATTCGCATCAGCTCCATTTGAAGACATTTTTAGCCAACACAACTCTGCATACCCAAACATAGCTTTTTAACATAGCTGTTAAACACAGCTAACCAGAACACTGAAACATCTGAAAAAATGCCCAAAGGGTGACAAACTTAAGTGCAATAGCAAAATCAGAAAGAGAAAACAAGGGAATATTGTTAGGATAAAAGAAGGGGGAGTTAGTTATGAGAGTCTGAATATTGAGTTAGTCTGTCAGTTTGAGTGGTTGGTTAGATATAAATAGGGGGAGAAGGATATGAGAGATTCACATTGGGGTTGTCATTGTAAGTTGACCACTGACTATCTGGGAAAGGAGAAATTCTTTGAGAAGGGAAAACCCTTGGAAGAGCGAGTGCTCTCCCATTTCTTGTTCTTTTTATTGTATTCCCAGTCAGCCCTGCTTTTATATATATGATGTCATTCTTAATTTTTAACCTTGTATCTTTGGATGGTGACAGGATGACGAATCTTATATCTTACCTGTACTTTTACGATTTGATGGTCAGCCTGATGTTGACGAGGAGGTATTTGAGACAATAACTTCTGCCTTTCCTTTGTTTCCTCTCAAATGGTATCTGCAAGTTGATCTTGTATATTACTCCTTAGAATTACTCTTTGTTGCCTATTAATAGTTGGCATGCATTAGGAATTTCTTTAAGGATTAACCTACAATTGTTATTAGTTGCTTTGTTTTTACACAAGACATGGATCTCTTATACATAATAATACCACATGCTACTCATGTATAAAATATATTGTAGCTATTGATTTCTGCTGAGAATTATTTGTTCGCCTTATTTCTCCTCTTTTTATATATACTTGCAGATTGCTTGTTATGCAGGGAAATATTCTGTATAGGTTTCCATCTCTGCAGAGGACAGCTTCTCAGAAGAGTAAGAGGAAAGAATATGTTGGAAGGAGATGGGCAGATTGGGTTGGAATTGATAAGTTTTTCCAAGAGAAAAAATGGCAGTTCAGGTTTTGTATTTGTATTTTTTCTGATCCAGTTGTTGTTATCCATATATCCACATATATTTATTAAAACATAACATTAGTGGTTGTTCTTTTGCAGTAAAACTGGCACGTCTGAGAGAGCAATGGTCATTGGTCTAGGTGGCCTTAATCTGTTTGGAGTCATTATTCTCGGAACCATGTTGAAGTAAGTTCTTCAGATGATGCATTACAGCATTAGGTAGTTTTTCAATTTTATTTCTTGTTTCAGTGCCCTCACTTCTGTTTTTCTTTGATCAAAAGAGATATGGCAGTTGCACCCAGTAGCTTCATTAAATTTGTAGCCGACATATTTCCTCTTCTTCAGGTACTGACTAATATTTCTGTGTTCAAGCAACTAGATTTTTCAATATTGAAAAAGAGTTATAAATTATCTTTTAGAAGGATCATTTTTATATAGGTTGTGATATTGCGATTTTTGGGAATTTGATGGCAATTTAATTGCTGCAAATTTAAGATTAGTTAATGATGGGATGGGAGGTTCATGTGAACATGGGAGTGGTCACTTTCTTGATACCTTTGTAATTTATCAAGGAAGAAAAAAAATTGAAGATGAAGAAAATTGTCGTAGTACAGGTTAAATAAAATGACTAATAAAATGTCTTCCACCTTGTTGAATATAGTGTAAAACTATATGTGGGATTAATCTCCTATGTGTTGAATATACACATAGGGTATTGTATTTATAATAGAAGAAATATGGGCTAAATCCAAAATACAAATAAAAAATAATAACAAACTAACTAAAGATAAAAGATAAAGATAATATATCTAACACTCCCTCTTAAGCTGGTGTATACAAATTATATATATCAAGCTTGTTACTAATATAATCAATAAAGACTTGGTGAAAATATCTGTTTCTGCACTTAAATGACACCAAATTGTTAATGATTTGCGAAGACGAAATACCAACTCAAAAGACTCCCCTGAGCAACAAATATGAGGTTGCAACATATAAATCTCTTCTTGCAAATCATCATTAAGGAATGCATTGTTAACATCTAGTGGATAAAGAATTGTTGAAGAGCTACCACGACTATAATAAACTAACAAAATCCATCTTTGCCACTGGAGAGAAAACATATATGGACGGGTCAAATGCTTCGGTGACAAAAGAGAGGTCAGAAGAGACAACAATGGAAGAAGCCATGGACGAATAGGAGAAAGAAACCCTAAAAATCTAAGACTTTCCAATCAAGGCACCTGAAAGGAAAAAAAGAGCGATCTCGATGCTATGAATAGCTGGCTGAGAGGAGATGAGACAGGCGACCATGCATGGTGGCATGAAAGAGGAGAAAAAAGTGATCTCGACGCTTTGAATTGCTTCCTGAGAAGAGATGGGACGTGCCACCATGCACGATGGAAAAAGGAGTAGATCTACAACTTCGAAAGACGTTGAGAGCGTGTAGAAGCTCCAATGAAGGCATCATTGAAGGCATAATGGTCGTCTAGCTAAGACAATCAAAACCATGTGCTCGTAGGTTAAAACTAGAACTCCGACAATGGCAGTGGTAGTGAGTGACAATAGACGGCGCCGCCATTGGCAGTGGTGGTAGACGGCATCGCTGCCGGCAATGGCAGTGGTAGACGGCACCGCTGCCGGCAATGGCAGTAGAAGACGCCGCCGCTGGTAGCGTTGGGTGTATTGGTAGAGGCGACAGTTTTTTTTTTTCCTCAAAATAAACTGGTTCTAGATACCATATTGAATATAATGAAAAACTATATGTGAGATTAATTTCCTTTGCATTGAGTATAAACATAAAGTATTGTATTTATAATAGAAGAATATGGGCTAAGCTCAAAATACAAATAAGAAATAATAACAAACTAAATAAAGAAGATAAAGATAATATATCTAATACACTCCAACACTCTCATGATCACCAACTCTTTTTCCCAACATCCCTTACCAATGTTAGACCTTTGTAGAGATCCCATGTTTACTAGAGATAAGGTAGATTTACAATTTATAAGTGAGTGCAATCCTTATCTTATAAGATAATTTTGTAGGGTTGAGTCAGAAAGTCTACTTCATAAGAATCCTTATATTACCCACACTTGACAAGGTATCGTGTCCTTCGTCATCCCTGATGTGTTACAAGAAGGCATCATTACACCTGACACCAACCCTTTCTATTCACCAACACATGGTGCTTGTGTTGATTACAAAGCACTGAATGTTGTTGCAATCAAGAATAGATTTTATATACCCACTATTGATGAACTAATAGATGAGTTAGGCCTTGCCACAAGTTTCTAGATTGATCTACCCTTTGGATACCACCAAATCCAAGTGCTTCCCCGAGGGCAGGCACAAAACTACCTTTCATACACTGGAACAACATTACAAATTTTTGGTAATGTTATTCTATCTCAAAAATATCCCCTCCACTTTTCAGTCGGCTATGAATGATTTACTCAAGCCATATGCCAATTAGTCTTGGTTTTCTCGTGTTCCCTCCCATGTCAAACACTTAGACTTGGTTTTAAAGTTATTATCCCATAACGTATTATTTTGCTAGGTTCTCTAAGAAGTTGAGCTGTTAATTTAGTACATTTCTAGGACATTTCATTTCATCATTTCATCGGCAGGTGGATCTCTAGGTCAAGAAAAGGTTCAAAATTTCCTTGGCTTGACTGGCCACTATCTTCATTTTGTCACTCATTTTTCCCTCACCGATCTCCTTTGACCAAATAAGATTACATGGACCATTTAGACCACCCAATCCTTTAAAGATTTACAATGCTAACTGTTCTGAACCTATCGTGCTTGAAACAAACACTTACCATTGGTGTAGTCTTGAGTCAAGATTGGTTCCCTTGACTTTTTTCAGCAAAAAAATTGTGCTCCCATCTTGAATTAGCTTCACTCTACACTAGGGAAATGTTCGTCATAATTGAATCTGTCAAAAATTGGAGACAATATTGGTGAGAGTATGCTTTCCACAATTGTACAAATCACAAGACTCAATTCCCTTTCAATGCAAACAGACGCAAGACAACAAAAGTGCACTTCTAAATTACAATGCTTTAGCTTCATATTTTCTACCAATCTAGTAAAGCAAATCTTGTGATGCATGCACTTTAGAAAAGGTTTCGTATCCATCTTTGTCTCCATCTCGTCCCTGGTTCTCAAGCATCATGAATTTTATACCACCACCACCACATGGGGCAATAATTTCATTAGCAAATTACATCTCCAATAACGCCATAAACATGTTTTTTCTATGGTGATGTGTGTTCATACCTAAGTACAAGGACATGCACACTGCTTTTTATCAAAGTTCCATTCCACCTTGACAAGCTAACATTCTTGTACCAAACCCACTGTTGCATGTCTTGCGTGAGGTAAATCTTGTGATTATATTTATCAGCAATGTGTAAATCTTGTGATTATAGTTATTATTAGCATTGTTTAACATCAATGTCTCATACTTTGTATGGTAATATTTTGCAGATTTATGCTGCTTCTTTCTTCGCAATTCCTCTTTTCCGGTGGTTTTTTATTCGGAAAAAGAATGATGATATTGAAAAGAGAAATAAAGCTAGGGAGCAGTGTGCACGACTTCTTGAATTACCTGACACTTCACTAAGGCAGAAGGTATGGTTTTTGAAAGTCATCTTGACCATATAGTATATCGACATCTTTATCTCCTATATTTTATTTTGTATAAAATTCAAGTGAATCTTTCTTTAAATTTATGAAGGCAACCTTGTGTTTGTGTATTGAAACATAATGAAGAAGCAAGGAAATGTTGGACCTGTTTTAGACCTTCATTTGTTGCTTTATATATTTCTAATTACTCTTGGCTGTCATTTTATAATAAAGTGTTACCTCATTTTATAGTTTACAACAAAACGAGGATGTGATGGAATTTGAAAATGATTCCTTGAATGAATTGTGTATATTAGCAATTCCAATCTCATTTCTGTATTATTTTTGGATGTTGATGCTTATATAAATGCTTTCTGGATCTGCTCTTGTGTTGTTTGAGGGGGTGGAAGTTTGGATAGGGGATTGCTTTTCTCAGGCATAATGTCCCTGAGAAATTCTTTTTCTGGCTTTCAGCTTTTCAGTGCCCGGGACATGGCCCAAAAGACAGTCATAGGAAAGGATCAAATTGTGTATAGCACTGAGAAGGACTTACTTGAGCAAGATTACGAAGCTCTAGACTGGGATAAAAAATTTCGGGAGCTTGAGAGGTCCGATTAAGAAGGGTCAACTGTTAACCCGTTAAGCAGGTAAATTGTTTAACTTCAATGCATTTCATACGTTATTTTGATGGGAAATGCATCACAGGGTCTACAAGTTAAAAGCTAATTTTTAGCAAAATGTTTCCAGTGTATTTAGCAAGGTGCGTGATACTGTAGACTTCTTAACGTGTTTTCAATTCTTATGGATTAAAAAAAGTCAATGTACTTAAGATTGAAAAGAAATAATTCTTGAGGGCTTAATTGATCCCTCTCACAATCTTCTATTTATAAGAATAAATTGATACACAAATACATGATAAATAGGGTAACCCTAGACACAATATAATCATGATAAATAGGGTAATCCTAGACACAATATAATCATGATAAATAGGGTAACCCTTGACACACTATAATGATGATAAAATAGGATAAATATCCTAACAAATGTATTGAATTGTAAGTATTTTTGTCAATGACTTTTTTTTTGGCTTTAACGATCCAATAATTATTTTAGTTTCTAGGGGTGGCCTCAAGAAACTATTGTGGTGGTAGTGAGGGTGTGACTATTGTGAAGCTGCTTTTTTTTTAAATTGAGAGGTATTGGAAGATTTCTTTTAGATAGAGGTCAAATGTAAATGAATAAAACAACTAGTTTAAACTTTTTAATTGCGCCTTTAAAAGTACCAGAAAATGTGAAACCTCTTTATTTTTGTGAAATAATCTTTATAGGATGGTGTAAAAAGAAATATATAATAGAATCTTTACATTATTGAATGGGTGTTATTATAATTAAAATTTCAGGGAGTTAGCTCTTCTCATGTATTGACAACTTGAGCAGCACAGCATCTGGACTTGCCTTCTGTGAAAGCATTGGATGTGGCCCTCGTATACTGCAGTATAAAATTCATTTCTTAGATCCAGTAATTTGAGTGATAAAATTTGTAATTTGAACTATAAAAGTAGTAAAAGTTTCTGTAGGACAAGCAATATAACTTGATAGGCATTGCCTTTGTATTACGACTTTATACGTCAGTGTTGAAATGTATTAGCGCGAAGGTGAAGAAAATCAACGTTTATCGTACAAGCACCACAGATTATTAGGAAGCAAGATTGTTTAAGATATTGGTCCGGAAGTTTCTCCTTTGGCGCAGGTGAAAACGAAATACCTTTTGCTGGTTTGACTTTTTATATCTTCGTAATTTTTTGTTTGTTTCTGATTTTGTTCTTCTGTTTTATTTTAGTTTGTCGTTAATCTTTTATCATAACTCTTCATTGTTTGTCTTTGTAACGTATAGATAAATTGTTTTCAATTTTTTCAAAAAGATTAGTTCGAAATTAATAAAATATATACAAACTAGCATTAAAAAAGATTAATATTTTATATGATCTCAAATTATCATAGATGAATACTTCAAAAAGAAATTTTACGGAAATTTAGTGTCAATTTCTTTATTTAAGGATGAATTGAGTCTGTTGTAAATCTGTTTCTGATTGTTGACCAGCTTTTGCACTTTTAAATGTCTTTTTTTTGTCCGATGAGTTTGATTGTAAAGAATGTATTAAATACATGTAACATTAAATGATTTTCTTCTTTTCTTCTTCACGTGACATCGTAATTGTTAGATGGGCTTATCTCTTCTTGGAGAGTTTATCTTTGAAATTGTCTATAGAGTAATATGGTACAAAGAACATAGTCCCTTCAGATTTGACAATGCATGACTCATGAAACTGTTGAAGAAAACATCCTTAACATTTTATCCAATACATTTTAATGTGTTTTGCCCTTTTATAATGGTCTCTTTGGCATATGGAAGTGACGAATATTTTCTGCAATATATTATGTGTAGTACAAATATGTTATGTGTATCATCTGAGCATGTTCATGCTTTCTCAAATGTAAAGTAAGACTGCATGGTGTTATGTCGTCTGTTAGTCAGAATACTTATAAAATGCAAGATTTGCTGTACTTAACTATTGTCGAATAAACAAAGCATGGTCATGTTTGTTACTTAACTGGTTTTCAACATTTAATCAAAATAATACGGTTAGAATTGTTTATGTACATGCAAAATAAATCCACCAAGTATTTATTTAAATTTGATTCAAAGTATATATAAGCATTAAACATACCTTTCTTGTCGAACCAAGCCACGTTTTGGGCAATCTTTTCATAAGTGCCTGGAATTTCCACATGAACGGTAGTTATCGCCCTTTAATTCTTTCTTTTGGATGTTCATTGTTGTTTGATTAACCTTTAACATTCATTTTCCCTTATTATATTTCTTCACATATTTCTTTCCAGCTCATTTATTTCTCTGATGGCTTACATAATGTACATTTACTTCCTTAATTTTTAAACCTCGTTTCTTAAACCAAAATGCAATTCATGTACCACATTTTAGTTATCATTCATGGTATTTTGCCACTTGAAACAGGCTATACTTAGACCCTAATGGGTTCAAAATAAAGCGTATACTCACAATTATTTTGAAGGTCTTTTTAAGTCTTGTTGCACTGTTTATCATTTCAATAATATGCTCATACATAACATGACCCATTGAACCTCATGGAGATCAATGTACTCATTAATGTGTCATCAAGAGACCTATTCGTTGTTAGCGCGTGCTCTCCCACAAACCCCATAAAATCTTTGATACTTTAACTGTGGGAAGAGTCATCTTAATACTATGAGACAATCACTCTCATGAACATTAAGTTGAGTTTGTTTGATCTTCTCCATGATTTATAGTTATAATAGGCTGTGTTCTTTGTTGTTAGAGTCATTAACAAGTTTCTCAATATCAATATTAATAACATCAAGGTGAAATATGACTTACTCATTCAATTCAGAGATATTAAGATTAAATATTGACATAAACGATACATGAAAATTCATCAGATTGAGAATTGGTAATGAAATTTCACACAAGTGTTAAGTCATAAAAGTATGCTTTACACATAATACTCAAACTACAATTCAAGTATATTGGAGTTCTTCTTTGAGTGGTACATCAACATGTACGTGATGCTAACATACTACCTTGGGGGTATATAAGTAAATTAAAGGTGCACGTAAAATTATACACAATTATATTCATTTTTAAGAACAAATACTCAACCTGAGTTATCCATAACTTCCTTATGATAATGATTTTAATTTACTTATAAAACAACATTCCTTTTATATATATATATCCTTAAAAAAATTTCAGAATCTAGGTATTAGAGAATGAAATATTTGTGTAATAGGTATTAGAACAAAATATGAAATTTTCAAAAATAACAATTTTCTTTTTTACTATATTTAGGGCATTGTTAATATTAAACCATTGTATCAGAGCATGATTATATTATAGCAAGGAAGCATCAGAGTAAGTATTTAATTGTTGAATATTTACTAAAGCACATAAACATATAATTAGTTTTTCGTTTTCGAGTATGAGAGTATATTGTTTAACATGAGCAAAATATTATAAAAACGTATAAGATTTATCGCATCGTACGATTATCATTTTATAAAAGATATGATTTCCTCAAGTCATAGATCATTTCAACATGTGTTATCAAAGCAAAACACAACTCTTTTATGCAAAACATGTGCAACATAAAATTAAAAAAATGAGTATTAGAGCATGAATAACTTATCAGATTATTAATAAGCATTTTTATGTATCAGAGCAAGATTAGGCATAAATTTTTAGGCATGGATATTTGTTCATATATCAAATCATATGTATATTGGATAAAACACTCTGTAAGATTTAAGGAATGTACTCTCCTTGATTTTGATAGTCTATTAATGTTTATGTCAAAATAATCAACCATTTAATTAATAGCATATAAGAGCAATTCATGTAATTATAAAGATAGACACATTAAGGCATCATATCGTTAGTGCTTATCAAACAAGTATGCTATGATTGATTGGTGGCTTCCATAAGTAAAAAAAAATGTGGAGCAACGAATGTGACCATTAAATTAATCAGAAAGAGTCTAAAGTAAAAATTAATTACAAAATTGAGATCAGATGCATGCATGCAGAGTCTTCAACATTTAGCATATTCTTCTCTCCCTTATTTGATAAACATCAAGAATGGGAGGAGAGACAAGTAATGACTAGAGGGTGGTGGTGGTTGGTCTGGCTTTGGGAAGAGTTGGGTTATGGCATTATTAAGGGTGTTCATGAGGGCTTGAAATTGGCTTGTTGTTCTCCTCCGCTTGCTTGAAACATTGGGGCGATTTTTGCTTCTTGTTGGCATTGTTCTTAGCAAGCAAGTGATGAACATGAGTTAGGATGTGGTCAGAGTTTGGATCAATGAGTAAGGGAAGTAGGACTAGAGAGGTGATGGTTTGAAGGGTGACTAAGGGTTGTGGCCAAAATATTATTTGTTGAGGGTTTGGTTTGGTGGGGAGGTTGAGGTTGTGGCTGTGGCTTGATGTAGAGAGCTAGGAGCTTGAATGATTGGGTCAATATTTTCAAGGGTAGGGGTGGGGTCCATGGGGTTGGAGAGGAAGGGTTTTGAGTGGTTGGGTCAATATTTTCAAGGGTAAGGATGGAAGCATGTAGAGGTGGAGAGGTAGGAGCTGCTTCTACATAGGGTGGTAGTTTTAGGGATGGAAGACAAAGTATAGCAAGGGGTACATGTTACCAATAAGCTGATACAAAACTTTGAAAGATTTTGATGATGAAGTACTCAAAGAATTGAAAAAGAATTTACATGTTTGGATGATTTCTTGTTAAAGCTTTTTTTATTGTATTTAAATTATAATAGTTGTAGTCATTTGAAATGTAATCTTAAATAGTCTTGTATATGCTCTTTTAGTTTAGAATGTTTACAGGAATAATCGATTATCACTTGGATAATCGATTATCCAGGAAACATCAAAAAATACTTTGATTCACAAATAATCGATTATCACTTAGGATAATCGATTATCCACGAAAAACAAGAATTGTTAAGGTTTGCAGATAATCAATTATCACTTGAGATAATAAATTATAATAGAGAAAATATTTTTATAACGGTCTAGGATAATCGATTATCACTGGCAGTTGGAAGCTGTCTTTTAAGCTTCTAACTTTTGCTCGAACCTTGGCCTATAAATACTATATTTTAGAATCCTTTAAAGTCTTTGAACAGGACGTGACAGCCAAAGGTGACAATTATTTGAGTCACAAAATCTGTCCTTTATGTCAATGGCAGTGTTATTCAGAAAGCTAAGAAAACATGGGCTCGAGTTGGATAGATTGACTGTTGAGGAAGACCAAAGAAAGAAGAAAACCTTAGACTTCAAATATGAGATTTCTAAAGGGAAAAGTCCAAAGAAGGATGAGGACTCTGAGGATGAAAACATGAGCCTCATCATTAAAAGTTTCACAAAGTTCATGAAGACCAAAGGCAATAATAAGTTTCAAAGTGAGAAAACAGAAAATCAAGCTTTATCATCAAATTCTTTGATTTTTCTTTCGAATGAAAAACACAAATAGGATCTTGAATTTTCATGATACTCACTATTCTCTCATACACATTGGAAAAGAACTTACCTGGATCCATTGTATAGTTTCTTCCTGTCAAACATTCTCCCTTCTCTTACTTCACTTTAATGCTTTCTTGATGATATAGAAATTATGAAAGATGCCAATCTCTGTCAAAGTCTCAATTTTCTTTCTTTTTAGAGAACGTAACCTTTTCTTTCATGACAGTACAAGCATATAACTATACATATCCATATAGATAGATAACATCATCATGTTAATATTGACTTATCCATAATGCCCATACTTTCAACATGGTCAATAAAAGTTTTGGGCGGTAGTCCTTTAGTTAACGGATCTGCTATCATCAAATCCGTACCAATATGCTTAATCAACATTCTACGTTTCTGCACTTCTTCTTTGATCAACAAGTATTTCAAATCCATGTGTTTAGCACCCTTTGAGTACTTGTCATTTTTAGAGAAGAAGATGGCTGCGGAATTATCACAATAAATCCTTATCG